ATTGCTTTGTGTCTCCGGTTTTTATATCGAGGGATGGAGTTATTTTTGTCATCATTTGATTTGTTCCGAAGATTTACGTCCTGTTTTTTGTTTGTTTCGTATTTTTTCGATTTTTCTAGTTCGTGCTACTGTTTCTTTCCGATTTTTTTCATTCGGTAGAAAAGGAGATCGTATTTACGAGCAGTTGCGTGCTCTCGGGAGTTCTTGTGATTGGTCGCGTGCCCGTTTCACCATGGATCCATCCATGTGTCGTGCGGTCACTGAGGCGTTTTGTCGTCTGCACGCCGATGGTCTGATTTATCGTAGTCTTCGTCTGGTCAACTGGTCCTGTACGCTTCTTTCAGCCATATCGGACATCGAGGTAGACAAAATGGAATTGTCCGGTCGCACACTGCTTTCCGTACCAGGCTATGATAAGCCTGTTGTGTTCGGGATTCTTAGCTTGTTTGCCTATCCGGTTATTCCAGGTTCGTGGGTCTTGTGTTTTACAAATGCCGATTTTTTCGATTGCTTCATTACCACAAGTCGATACATTATTTTGTTCTGATGTCCCTTCACTACTAAACGAACCTGGAATGTTGTTCTAATTTGTCTCGTTTAATCAGTTATTCAGTGCTAAATGTTCACACAGTCAAATTCTCCGATTGTGGTTTACGCTGATCTCTTTTCCCCTTGTAGATATTCCACCTGTATTGCTGTTTCCAGCACCCCGTGTTGGAAGTTTCTGGTTTTTAATGATTACTTTTTTGTTTCTACTCTTTTGCCTTCTTTAGCTCCTGGTGATCCACCTGAAGGTGTTGAACTAGTCGTTGCTACTACCCGACTGGAAACCATGCTAGGTGATACTGGTGTAGCGGTACACCCAGAAGACCCTCGTTATCAGCATCTTATTGGACGCCAAATTCAACATCCGCTGGTCCCCGACCGCGTAATCCCAATCGTGGGTGACTCGTTCGTTGATCGTGAGTTCGGAACGGGTGCTGTCAAGCTAACCCCTGCGCATGATTATACTGATTGGGAGGCGGGACTACGGCACCATCTACCTGCGATTTCTGTCATTGACGAAGCGGGCAACATGACCTCAGCAGCCGGGCCACAATTTGCAGGTGGGCATGATGAACCTTTCTCAGCGTCACTTGGGTGACCTTCAGACCGAGTGTGCTTCAATACGACTTTGTGACCATTGATGTAATCGCATCCATCTTTTCCGCCTTGTTGTCCGCACTATTTATGATTTCGTTAATTACCCCAATTCCTTTGACACCGCATTCTGACGCACGTTTGGTATACGATGTCATACAGCTGCTCCTTGGGGCTTTGATTGTTTGTGTGTCAAAATCATGCTTTTATCTGCTACACTAATTTACATTCCATCTGCACTGTATCCCTTCACTGTCTTCAAAAGGTATGAAACGATTTCACGCTCGTGTCCAAGTTCGGACCGCACTCGAAGCACTCGGACTATTCCGTGGGGAGCAGGATAATCCCATGGTCGTACCCGTATGTTCGCGAAGCAAAGATATCATCGAACCATTGCTAAAACCCCAGTGGTACATGCGCTGTCAAGAAATGGCTGACCAGGCAATCAAAGAAGTAGGTGCATTGATTAGTACAACGATCCAAACCAAACGTAATTAGTTTCTATCCCTTTTCGTTGAGTCTTAAATATGTTTTCGACTTGAATGCTATTGAATTGGCGCATTGCTTCCGCGTCCCGTTCGGACACATCAAGATCCCACACCAAACACATGCCATTTTGTGAGCTGCAAAAGAAGGGCAACCAGCCACAACCCAAGACACCCACCCCAGACCGCACTGAGCGTTTCGGAGATGTTTACCCTTTAAAACCACTTGCAAATGCCTAACCGGTAGCGCGGTCCTTCCCGCTCGTGAAATATGTGTTCAGTTCAGTTTCAGTTCATACATCCTTTAACCATGCACTATCGTGCGCCGGTTTTGATTGCTGTCTTTTCGCTGCCCATTTGGATGAACATTAGGAGAACGACAGGAAGGTTGAAAGAAGGATCCAAGGGAAAATTTAGAATTTCAGTGGACTAATGTTGCAGAGAAATTGACACGATGCACGAACGCCACTGTTTACGATACACAGCCAGTGTGTCACTGGTGTCACTCAGTGTGTCTAACCATTGGTGACTATCATCCCGAGGTCCCCATGCAATAGGTCTAACGGGAACTATGTGACCCAAAACTCATCGTCAGGGTTTCCATCAGTTCAGTTTGTAAAACCATTTTTAAACCACTTTCGTCCACCGATTTTGGTTGCCCATTTGGATAAAAGAGCAAAATGTAGATCGGAATGTCGAAC